TACCCCCGCGACATTCAGCCAAAAGCATACTATGAATCTAAATTATTGATTATTCATCAAACCAAAATGCTCACCTCATGATCATCAACCATATCAGATAATAAACCATTGTTAACCACAAGAGAGCTGGGTAGTAATGAAAAAAAATCCATTTACCGGTTCAATTAATGAATGTTTTCTAGCACCTTATGTGTGTCAGAACCTGGTGCTCAGGCCTGGGGAATTTAGTAACAAGTGAGCAGACACAATTCCTCCCAGAGGAGCTTACAAACCACGCAGACAGCTCTCACATATGAATGTCAAGAAGTAGTAAGTGGGAATATAAAATGGGCTCTCATTGGCTGGGAGTTCAAGAATGATTCTCTGAGAAAGTGAAATTAATTTGGAACTTGAAAGATTAATGAGAACTACCTAGACCAGGGGTGGGTAACCCCTGGCACACATGCCAAACATGGCACCCAGTAACTTTTGCTGGCACGCGAAACCCTCTCTTATAATCTTCCATTTACAATTTTTTCTTAATATCAACTTTTTTATTTTTCAGATAAATTCAGTGTAGGTGCATCTTAGATAAATAAATAATTTTACATAACAAGTTATCCTAAAGACCATAGACATGGATCGATGAGAGAGGGGAAGAGCAATTTCTATGCCTCTGCCTTAACTCTCCCTGCCTTCCTAGATCCGACCAGTGTTTTGGTTTCATCCACATAGGCTTGTGGATCTTTGTTCTCAGTGATGAATTTTGTTAAGTCTCGTTATAGGAGTAGCCTGACGGATGAAAGTAGTAGCTCGTGCACATCTCTGAAGGTCACGAAATATAAACCTGATGTAAAATCTCTGTCATCAGTGATGCAGCAGCAAAAGTCCCACTGATATCAAACGGAGTCATAAAGTTTTCTGTCGGACTGTCAGAGAACATGTATACATTAAAAAATAAATGTATTTTTCATCATCATATACTGTGTTTTTGTCTCTCGAATGAATTTTATTATTTCTTCAAGGTTCTTCACATACGTACACCTTAAGAGATATCAAGTAGGTGTAACATGTTCTCAAAAAATTAGGGTTGGCACGCAGAAGAATTTTGAGTCAGAGGTTTTGCTGGTTTTGGCACGCACTCACAAAAAGGTTGCCCACCCCTGACCTAGACAAAAGGCATATTGGGGAGGGGTGGGCAGTTAATTTACAAAAAGAAAGCGATAGATCTGTATATAGACATTGGAAAGATGTATAAGACATGTTGACAAATGATAAAAGCCAGTGGCAGAACAGCTTGTGTAGTTTCTCATTTGTGTGAGAAACACAGAGGCTGAGTGCTTGCTTGTGAATGCACTGGAGTAATCACAGAAACTGCGCCCAGTGCTTATGTAAGCTCCTGTCCTCACAATAGCTCTGTGTGGAAATGAGTGTTTAACGAGGGTTAATTGTCCAAGATGACTCAGATAGTAAATGGCGTGCCAGACTTCAAGCCCAGGTCGCCCCACTGGGGTGGCGGCAGGTTGTAGCTGCAGCTGCAGCGCCCTCGTCCTTCTGTGTACAGGCTGTTTGAAGTCCTCTGATGCGTCCTTGGTGGGTTCTTCACCCCTACCCAGTGCGGTAGAGAGCGAGGACCCCTTGGTGGATTTTGAGCTGGAGGACCAGTGGAGCTGAAGTCTGCACTGAGAGCTCCCTCCTGCTGTGGGGGGAGGTGGGCAGTGCTGGGGGCGCTGTTCCGAGTGGGGTTGGTGTTCACCACTGGGTGACCTGCACAGGGAATGGCACTTGTGCACTTGTATTGGTTCAGATGCTGAGATCGGCAGGGGTTGGATTTAAATGTCCTGTGACACAAAGAAGGGAAGCTGGGCAGTAGCTTGAGCTTTGCCTTGTCCTTGCCCAAGGGCATATCCCCCGTAGACAGGGAATACCACCTTGAAGGGAAGTGGCTGTTCCTTTCCCTCTGTCATTTCTTGGGTTCAGTTATTCTTCCCCGGTCACAATGAACCCTTGGAAGGTTGTCACCCACAGTTTAAAATGAACTAATACAGACCCCATCATAACAATCATTTATCTATTGCTGTATAACAGGTTGTTGCCCCCAAACATAGAGTATTTAAAACAACAAACATTTCTTGCTCAGTTTCTGTGGGCCAGGAATTTGGGAGTGGCTTGTTTGGGTGGTTCTGGTCAGAATCGCTCAAGAAGTTGCAGTCCAGATGTCAGCCAGGGGTGCGGTTATGTGAAGGTTTGGCTGGAGCTGGAACACTCGCTTGCAAGATGGTGTGCTCACACACCTAGCAACATGGTGCTGGTTATTGGCCACAGTTCCTCTCCAGGTAGGGCTCTCCCAGGGAAATGTCTTAACAACATGGCGACTGTCTTCCCCAGGAGCAAAGAAAAGGAGCCACGTAGGAGCTATCCTTTTTATTACCTAGTCGAAGGGATGAGAAAATATCCAAAGTTCATGGATGAAGTTTTCCTCATTAATTCTTCTATCTACTCAACAGTCATTTATTGAATCTCTAGTATGTGCCAGGTAGTCTAGATACAGAGATAAATATGACAAATAGCGCTTGATACCAACCCTCAAGGAACGTGTAGTGCAGTGGAGTAGCAGCCGTGCCATGGTTAGTGCTTCAGAGCTTACTGAGAACTTTCAGATGTTCTCCTCTCCTCTTTCCACTAACCCTGTCATCAGCGGAGCTGGTTATGCCCCCATTTCCCATCTCCTCTGGTGCTCAAATGATGATGGATTTCTTAAGCTGATAGAACTTGACTTTGCTCCAACAATTCTGGCTACAAGTCCCTTACCCTTTCTCCTGCCACAAGCTGTGTTCCTTGTGGCTGCTGTATCATCTGTTTCATCCCTGTGCCTCAGATGAGGAAACCGAGGCTGCGGGCACCGAATAGCTCTTGACGTCATTTCTCACTTTTCACCACACTGACCCTTCAGGGGTGGACCACCCTAAGTCCTCCATTGACAGTTGCTGTTGCCTTTCTTCTTGCAGAAAGCCCTGGGTGTGCGGCAGTACCATGTGGCTTCAGTCCTGTGCCAACGGGCCAAGGTGGCCATGAGCCACTTCGAGCCCAATGATTACATCCGCTATGACCTGCTAGAGAAGAACATCGACATTGTTCGCAAACGGTGAGGCCGCTGGGGGAGCTGGGGGACGGCTAAAGGTGCTGCTTTTGCTACCTGCCCTTTCAGGCAGCAGAGCGGGTGCTTGAGGAAGAGTGGTTGAGGATGATGGCAGGAGCAAGGCGCTTAGGGTACAGTGGTCCCTGCGGAGGAGAGGCTTTGCCGATTGGCGGTGGTCTTTCTCCCTCTGCCGAGGAAAAGTCTGTTATCAAGAAGCCGGTGATTGGGACTGGGCCTAAGTGCCAGAGAATTATCTATTTCCTCTTCTGCGAGTGGGCCCGGAGGAGAGCTCGGGTGGGATCTGGAGCATATCTTTATGGGGTCTCCCTTTCCTCATTTGGTAAAATGGCAGCCATCTTTGCACTGCTATCCTGTGTGCCAGGTCCTGGACTAGATGGTGGCACCAGAAGGATGACGAAGATGCCGCAGGAGGATGGGGTCGGGGGCTGGTGGTATACACCAGCCAGCACTGCTCCTGGAACTTGAACACTCCCCACCTGGTGACAGTGACCCTGGGAATAGCGAGAACAGATATGAACATACCCATGTTACAGCCAGGGAACAGGCTCAGGGGGAGAAGCAACTTGCCTGAGGCCACACAGTGAGCGAGTGGTGGGACCTTGTCCCATGTCCTCATCCAGTGCTCTAGCCATTCTCCCACACTCCCTCTCTGTGGTCACTGTTTGCCTCTTTACTGGTATCTTCACGTCAGTTCTAAGGGTAAGGACTGACTGAGTCTTTATCTAATTGTAGTGAGGACCTGTGAGTGTTTGGCAAGGGTGGTCATACTAATAGGAGCTACCTAGGTGTCCAGTTTGGTCCAGGCACGTCACATACATGATTTCTATTCTTTTCAACAACTTCTGTAGGTTGTTACACCCTCCTCATTTTGCAGATAAGAAAATCAGTGTCATAAAAAGGGAAGTTACTAAGGCCCTTGTACATACTGGGGCTACTTTATTTGTTCTTAACCCTACTCAACTAAGTTTCCCTCTCTCTCAGAGTAAAGCTTTTGGTAGGGGTACCTAACCAAAAAAAAAAAAAAGAGAGAGAGAGAGAAAGAAAAAGGTAATATTTCAGTTCACTTTGGGGAAGTGGCTTGGGTCCGTCAGCTTCCAGCCCTCCCAGGGCCAGTCCCAGCCGTCTTGTGGGTTTCATCTAGGCTGCACATTAGAGTCCCCTGGGAAGCTTGTAAAACCAGCCAACACGGCCCCTAGCAATTCCGATTCAGGTTGTGAAGGTCTTTCTTTTTTTGGGGGTCATGAAGGTCTTACTCCTGAAAACGTGGTCCAGGGATCAGCAGCAGCAGCATCCTCTGGGATGTTGTTAGCCTTGCAGAACCCCAGGCCCTAGCCCCGCCCCACTAAATCAGAATATGCTGTTTAACAGCCTCTCATCAAACTGTCAGGAGTGCTGGCCAATTTCCCAGCTGGTTCTGACATACACTCACAGTTTCCAACCACTGTCCCCATCAATATGGGATCTGGTAAAAATATTGTTTTCCCAAGGAAACAACATTTTATTTATTCTTGGAGCTCTCTGACCATAGCTCGGTGGGAAAAGGATGGATTTTCCTTTAGACTCCAAAGCATTTCCACCTTGCTCTTCATCGTGCTTAGAAGGAGAGTTAACATAGATGTTTGCTTTACAATAATGTGACAAAGAGTATTATTCACCTTTTAGTATTTGCTTTAAAAAATTAACCAAAAAGCCCTAACCGGGTTGCTCAGTGGATAGAGCACCAGCCTGCGGTCTGAAGGGTCCCTGGCTCAATTCCGGTCAAGGGCACATGCCCAGGTTTCGGGCTCGATCCCCAGTGGGGGCGTGCAGGAGGCAGCCAATCAATGATTGTCTCTCATAGTTGATGTTTCTCTTTCTCCCTCTCCCTTCCTATCTGAAATCAATAAAAATATATATATTTTTAAATTAACCAAAAAACTACCCTCTAAGGCACTGGGAATTTTTTTGGTTTTAATTATATCAGTAAAATTAACCAAAAAAAGATTTTTTTTTCCTTTGCCTGTTATTACAACCCTGCATTAACCAGAAAAGTCCATTAACTTTCAGCATTTTCCAGATTAGTGCAGATAAAGGATGTTGCCATAGAGCAGGGGTTCTTACTGGGGGTGTGGGTGTCAATTTTGTCCCTGAGAGGAATTTAGCAATGTCTGGAGACATTTTTGGTTGTCAGTGGGGGGTGGGGGGGGTGAGGGAGGGAGTGTTATTTAGTGGGTAGAGGCCAGGAACCTACCGAACATCCTACATTGCAGAAGAGAGCCTCCCAACAAAGAGTCATCTGCCCCACTGCCCGGGGTGCCACGGCTGAGAAACCCGTAGGTAGAAAAGAAGGTAGAGTGAGGCTATTCTAAAAAGATGTTAGTGAATTAAACACATTTAAGAATGTTTTGGAAATCCAGGGGACTTGCAGGGGGGACTCTTTCTCCACCCTGTGTCTGAGAGAAGGGGCCCAGTTCTGTCCTAGCTGGTTTTGCTCAATGGTTAGACCCTTGGCTCTCAGACCGAAGGCTCGTGGGTTTGATTCCTGGCCAAGGGCACATACCTCGGTTGCAAGCTAGATCTCTGGCCTGGATCAGGGTGTGTTCTGGAGGCAACCAATTGATGCCTCTCTCTCCCCCTCCTCTTTCCCTTTCATTCTCTCTAAAAATCAATGGGAAAATATCGTTGGGTGAGGATTAAAAATAAAAAATAAAAAGAAGGGGTCCAGTTCTGTTCCTGGGAACTGGCTCTGCCATTTGGGGAAGCAGAGGGACAGGGATATAGAGGACCCATTTTACTCCTCAAGGAAATGTGATGATGGACTCGTCCTTGGGCTGTTGTCATTGTCAGACTTTTTTATACAAGTTCAGGCATTTGCTGTCAAGGCCTTTAGTTTTAAAGTCCATGTGCTATTTTTTTGTCTCCTCTGGGACCCAGAAAGGGGGGTCGTGCTCCATAACTCACTGCTCATCCCACTAGCCTTGGAGATGCTGCACAAAAGGGGGCAGGCTGTGCCTCAGGCCTGCACTATTTTTATTCAAGCTTCTCATGACAGCAGAGCATAGAGATTCTCAGAATTGCCACTTGCTCTGCTGTTGCCCACAGAGCCAACGCCTTAGGGAACTCTTATCTCCAGGGACTTGGTAGATTGAGAGTGAGGGGCTGGAGCCCAGGCTAGCAGAAGAGAGGTCCCCGCTTTCCCAGCAGAGCCCTGTTGGCAGTAACACTAATGCCAGTGACTGAACATGACTACGGACCAGCGCAGCCTCCAGGGGTTATTGAGAGACAGTGCAGGGCGAAGGAAGGAGCACGGACCTGGAGCCACTGCTGGGCTCCTCGCGCTCTGCTCTGCCACTCGTGACCTGGGGCACGTTACCTCCGCTGCACTTCAGCTTCCTCATCGTCTTGTGAGGATGGAATGAGTTACATACAGTACAGTGCTAGCCATGTATCTGTAGTGACAGAAAACAGCCAGTGGTGGTTTGGGGATGGGGGCGAGTGGGAGGACACAAGGAAGCTCTTGGGGTGATGGATGTGTTCATTATCTTGATTGTGGTGATGACATATGTGTATACAGATGTCAGAACTTATCAATCGGGTGCTTTAAATATGTGCAGTTTATTGCACTCCAATTATTCCTCAGTAAAGCTGTTTTATTATAAGTGCTATCTGTTACCGCATTCCAGGCAAAGTCCTGGACTTTAGAGTTGGTGAGCTTCCTGAAAATGACTGTCGCTAATCTGTCACATTGGTTTAGTAATAGGGTCAGGTCTAGACCCAGAGCCTCTGACTCCTAATCTGATGCCCTTTTTTTTTTTTACTTATTGGGTGTGAGTGGAACTCTGCCTTCCCAGGAGGCCTCAGGCTTGGCATAAGCTTCGTGCGTCGGGGAGGCAGTGTGAGGTCCAGCCAGGGCTGCTGTGCCGTGTGGGCAGCCAGGTGCAGTGGGCAGCAGCAGGGAATCATCAGGGCGCCTCAGGTGGGTGGTTGAGAGTTGAGTTGGGGGAACCCTGGGGAGAAGGAAGCATTTGAGTCCTGGCAGGGGCTGCACCTCCCTTAGGGTCAGACTTTTCTGCTGTTTTGGCCCTGATGAGGAAGGAGGGGAAATGGGGTCTGAAAAGAGGAGGACCAGTGAGAGGCCAGAGGCAGCGATAGGGGTTTCTGTTCTTAAGAGCTGACAGCCACGCCTCTCTCAATGGGGGAAGAGCAAGTGGGGCTAATGGGCAAGGCTTTAGCATAAAAGGGTAAGAAGGCCTCCTCCCCCTGGGGTGGAGGTTGTGAATGGAGGGTGGGCAGGTTGGGTGTCGGGGTACTGGTGTGGATCCTCTGTCTTTGTGGGGCCGACAGCACAGGGGAGTTGTTCATGGACCGAGAGAGGGTTCAAGGAGAGCCTGGCTGCGAACTTGAGCAACTATCACCACTCCGCTGGCCTCTGCTCCCTCTTGGTTGTTTTATTAAATGCCAGGAATACAGTGAGGATTAAACGGTATGAAATACATGTAATCGATGCTCATGAGATAACAGTGGTTAATATGCTGAAAAAACAAATATTCTTAAAAACAGAACAAAACACCACCTCTTGTGTTTCACATATTCATCAAGTAACTTCGAATCACCTAGTAAGTGCCAGGCACTGTGCCGTGTGCTGGAGATGCCACAGTGAGCAGGGCCGCTCCAGCCTTGTGGAGGGAACAGTCCCCTCCTGCCCTCTCTCAGGGTGACCATGTGCACAGAGGGGCAGTGCTGGGGGTGGGCAGGGATTGTGCAGACAGTACCAAGCAACCTCTCCCATTTCCCCCAGACTGAACCGGCCTCTGACCCTCTCTGAGAAGCTTGTGTATGGACACCTGGATGACCCAGCCAATCAGGAGATCGAGCGGGGCAAGACGTACCTGCGGCTGCGGCCGGACCGCGTGGCCATGCAGGACGCCACGGCCCAGATGGCCATGCTGCAGTTCATCAGCAGTGGGCTGCCCAAGGTGGCGGTGCCGTCCACCATCCACTGCGACCATCTGATCGAGGCCCAGGTCGGGGGTGAGAAAGACCTTCGTCGGGCCAAGGTGAGCTGAAGGTGGTATGGGGGGACAGTGGGTGTGACATGAGGTGAGAGGCAAAGCCCTCGAGGGAGAGAGAGAGGGAAATATCAATGATGAGAGAGAATCATTGATTAACTGCCTCCTGCAGGCCCCACACTGGGGATTGAGCCTGCAACCCAGGGATGTGCCCTGACTGGGAATCGATCCATGACCTCCTGGTTCATAGGTCAATGCTCAACCACTGAGCCATGCTGGCCGGGAATAGTCTTTTTTTAAAATTGTTTTTATACTTTTCTAATTCTTAAAATATCATTTACTCATTTTGAAGATGTTAGAAAATACAGAGAAAACCTAAAAAACAAAATCATCCTTAATCTTACTACATTGATGGTATTTTTTTCCTGGTCCTTTATCTGTTATACTAGAGGCCTGGCGCATGAAATTCATGCACAGGTACAGTCCCTAGGCCTGGCCTGCTATCAGGGCCATCTTCCCTCAGTTCCCGTTCGCCATTGGGCGATCAGAGCCTGCCAGCCGGGGGGAAGGACCCAGGGGTCAGCCATTCTGCCCGCTCTC